TAACCAAGCTAATCCTCATCTCTAGGTTTCTGGATGATTCCCCCAACCAGAATCATATTCATGGCCCCTCCTTGCTCTACAAGGGCCATTGGTGGTTTCCAGAATCATCTTCATCTCTGCCAACCTTCATTCACCTCTCCCTTTTTTAAATGGAAGGATGGATCAAAAGAATGAAGAATCAGGTAAATGAGTGAATGAATGAAAGGATGACTGACTGAGCTCACATCTAACCTTACACTCTGTCCTCCAACATGTTATGGTATTCTCTTTGGCACTTTTAAGTCATCTCTCCAGTAATATTATAAGCTACCTGAAGGAAAGTACTGTTGTTTTTTATTTCTTTTATGACTCGGGTCACAGAACTGGGCCACCATTGGCCTTTTTGAGAATAGTCTGTGCATCAATCAATGTGAAGTCATGGATATAACACTAAGTTGGAATTCAGGATACTAATCCTCCCCCGCAGCTCTCTGGAAGACTTTAGACCAGTTTTAGGCTTTGTGGGCCTTAGTTTTCTAATCTGTGAAGTGAAGGGATTGGGCTGAGAGAGTAGGCTCTGAGCTTTCCCCTACCTACCATCTAGGTAACCTTGGGCAAGTTGCATCATTTCCCCAAGCAAACAGGAAGAACCATTTCTACCTCATGAGCTGTTTTAAAGACTTAATGATATGACATACATCAGGTGCTAAGTCCGGAGTTAATAATTATATTCTCTAAATTCCTGTCCAGATGCTGACACAGACTATCCACTCAAGATGCTGTATTAGAGAAGGAACTTTGCAAAATGGTAGAACAAGTCTCTTCTGTTAAGATTTTTACATGCTATGTAAATTATCTTTAAAGAAATGCAAGGCCAATAAGCACATGAAAAGATGTTCTGCATCACTAAACATTAGGGACAGGTCAAAACCACAAAGAGATACCACTTCACACTTACTAGGATGGCCTTAAAAAGGAATGAATATCTAGTATCATATGATCTCACTGACATGAGGAATTCTTAATCTCAGGAAACAAACTGAGGGTTGCTGGAGTGGAGGGGAGTGGGAGGGATGGGGTGGCCCAGTGATGGACACTGGGGAGGGTACGTGCTACGGTGAGCGCTGTGAATTGTGTAAGACTGATGAATCAGAGACCTGTACCTCTGAAACAAATAATACATTATATGTTAAAAAAGAAAAAAAAGAAGATGGTAGGAAGGGGAAAATGAAGGGGGGAAATCAGAAGGGGAAACAAGCCATGAGAGTCTATGGACTCTGAGAAACAAATTGAGGGTTTTAGAGGGGAGGGGGTGGGGGGACAGGTTAGCCCCATGATGGGTATTGAGGGCATGTGTTGAATGGAGCACTGGGTGTTATACACAAACAATGAATCATGGAACACTGCATCAAAAACTAATGATGTAATGTATGGTGACATAACATAATAAAATAAAATTTAAAAAATTAAAAAGAAAAAGGAATGAATGTCTGACATGTGTCTTGAGGACACTATGCTAAAAGAATTCTTCCAGTCACAAAAAGACATCCTATGATTCCACTTTTAGGATGCACCTAGAGTAGTCAAATTCACAGAGAAGGAAAGTAAAATGGTAGCTACCAGAGAGGTGGGCGGGGGGGGGGGGTGGAATGGGAAGTTATTGTCCAAGGGTTAGAGTTTCAGTTTGGGGAGATGAGAAAGTTTTAGAGATGGGTGGTGGTGATGGTTGTACAACAATGTGAGTGTACTTAATGTTTTAAAGAAATGTAAAACCAAAATTAGTTTCCTTTGGGTGTAATTTTTTGCCAGGTGAAGGAGGCCCAGAGCTCCAGGGGCTCCTGGAGCTGAGAGTACAGATCATGCTGCCATGCTTTGTGCTGAAACCCTAAAAACAGACTCAGCCTGGCCCTTTAATGCCAGTCCCACCACAGAGAAAGCTTTTCAGCAGGAGCCATGAACAGGCACATTGTGAAGTCAGGCAGACCTTTTCTATGGAAATCAGCATTTATTTGAAGGCTTTAGTGCCAGATTTATCCTCACCCAGAGGTGACCTTCTACATAGGGCCAAAAGAAAAGTGATTTCTTTGATCGTCCATTTGACCCCAACTTTGACTCCTGCGCTTTTCAATTCATTTTAAATCATGCTGTTCTGGCCAAAGCGATCCCAACTCTTAGCAGAGAATATTTCACATTTTTACCAACAATTCTGGGCCAATTTCAGATCTGTTCACTCGAATAGCAAGAACAAACTCTGTGAGTTCTTTCTGAGTCTTTCTGATCTTAAGCAGCAGGGAGGAAAGTTGAGGGAAATATTCATAAATGGCATGGATTTCTGGGGGGGAGATGTGAATTGGAAACTCCTCCTTGCTTAGATATGACCTAATGCTCATATGGGCCACATCTAAGGTAGGGAAGACAGGTGACTCCCAAGGCAGGGACCCAGATTCTCTTCCCCTTGAGTCAGGATCAGCAATGTCCCAGGAAGGAACACATCACTGTCCTTTGCACTGTTTATGATGTTGTGGGTTGTAAGTAACAGTAAGCCAACTCAAGCTGGCTTGAACAATAAGGAAAATGCATCTTCTGGCACAATAAGAGGTGGAGTGAGGGCAGAGTTGGTAAGCCAGCAGATCAATGTTATAAACAAGGACCTATGCTCTGTCCATCTCTCCACTTCCTCTGTGGTCATAAGAGAGCTGCCACAGCTTCAGACACCAAATATACACCAGGCAATGGGAGAGAATGCTTTCCAGAACCTGCCCCCCAAGCCCCAGCTGACTTCCCTCTCATATCTCATTAACCTGAATTGTATCACACACAAATACCTAAACCAGGAGTGATCAAAATTTTCTGTAAAGGGCCAGGTTAGTAAATTTCACTGGCTTCAAAGACATGTTTTTGGTTGCAAAAACTCAGCTCTGCCACTGGAATGTGAAAGCAGCCATAGGTGATGCGTTAACAAATGAGAATGGCTGTGTTCCAATAAAACTTTCTTTATAAAGACAGGTGGCAGGCTGGATTTGGCCTACAGGCTATGGTCTGCTCACCCCTGTTTCAGATCAACCATTTCACAATTAGCTTCAGGACACAACTAACTGGGAAACACGTCACAGGCATTTGTTATTAATTTATAATAATAATATTTATAAGTGGTTTATTCTCTGCTGGCACCCAAGAAAGGATATTCAAGAGGTTCTAATTCATAGAAGATCGCTCAATAGGTAGGCAGATGAACAGAGCACAGTAGAACTGGGCCACCAAAATAAAGTGAGAACAAAATTTCAAAGAAGTTCTTATGTGCAAAGAGCCTCAAAGGAGGCACTGTGGAAGACTCAGAACTTGGTTAAACTTTGTTCAACTTATTTTACAAATATAACCTTTACCAAAAATGTTTTAGTTATAGTTAGGGTTCACTGCAATTCCCCTAAAAGTTTAAATTCCACTCTTTAGAAAGTGTTTTCATAACCTCCTTTTTTTCCCTCCCATAGTTAAGTCAGGACTGGAAAGAACCTTAGCACTCAGTCCAAACCCCAAATTTTACAGATGAGGGAATGGAGGCTCAGAGGGCAAGCTAATTCCCCCAGATCACACAGCTACCCAGTGGCAAAACCAAGACCCAAATTCAGGCTGTGGTAGGTTGTAGTGTTATTCAAAATACCTGCTCCCCCTCCCAAGAGGTGGATTATATAGCTTCCTGCAGGGACAAATTCCACCATGTGTTTGTGGGGCCCCTCCTTACTGTTGAGCTCAGGAGTGGCCGTGTGACTTGCTTTGCCAGTGGGACATGGATGAAATGGCACGTGTCACTTCTGATTGTCATGCGTGTCTGCCCTCTGCCGCAAAACTGGTGATGTGCTAGGCAGAGGATAAAAAACACAGGCACAGCTGACCGGGATGGACGTGTCACACAAATCGGGAATATACCCCTGAGATCTGGGGCTGTTTGTTACCACAGCACAACTGAGTCTATACTGACAAATACATGGGCTGTACAACACTAAACGCCGGGCTCCTTCTCACTTGGAGAATCTCAGGTTCCAGGCAGTATGCAATGGACTGAAGAACACACATTTTAGAGTCGGCCTGCCTGGGTTGAGATTTCACTAGCTGTGACATTGGTCGTGTTACTCTCTGGCCCTCAGTTTCTTCATCTGCAATATAACACTGGTGCCTACCCCCTGGGGATATGGTGAGGCTTCAATAACTAATCCTGTGTTTTGAGGACTCCTGGCTAAATGTTGGTTACTATTATTCCGCATAGTCTCTCCCTGGGGACAGTTCAGCAACAGTAAGTTGTGGGTGGTGGGGGGCTCACTAAGACTATTTCGTGTCATTACACATGAAAACAACAGCCATCCTTCAGAAGTCACTCTCCCCGGTGTGCAGTGCTGACAGTCATCACTGTCCCTGCTACAGGCTGAGGGGAAGGGACATGAGAGGCTGTTGCAGAGGGGTTAGGAGCAGGGCTCCTAGGGTCAAGCCTGATTAGGGTTCAAATGCTACCTCTGTCTCTCCTTTCTGTGCATCTGTAGCTAAGTTATTAACCTCACACACTCATGCTACTCATTCTTGAGTGCTCATGTGTGTCAGGCATGTTTGGAAGGATGGGGAGAGGTATGTGACTAAGACTAAGAAGGGGAGGTGTATAGGAGATATCAAACAGAAGCTTTGTTGGCCATGGCTGCCCTGTGCCACATCTAGAGCTCAGCCTGGGGGCTGGGAGGTGAGTCCAGAAAACCTCACCAAAACATCATTGGGGAATTCAAAGGTAAAAGAAGACGAAGAATCAGACTGTGGGTGTGCCCTTGGCAAACACTGCACAAGAACTCTTTGGATCTTTTTTCTTTTTTCCTCTTTTCTCTTTTCTTTTTTCTTTTCCTTTCCTTTCCTTTCCTTTCCTATTTTCTTCCAAATGTTACCATGAATTAACAGCACTCACTGCTGGGCTACTGGAAACATATCTTTTCTGTTTCTGACATAGCATACCTTAAAGTTGGAAAGGAAGCCTTTTATTTGGGGATGCTGTGGGGGTTTATTACTGAGTGTACGCAGAAAGCAATTAGGGTCTGTGAGAGGAAGTAGTACAGAAAGTGGAAGATCTTCAGTAAAATAATTGCAAGGCAACATTTCAGGGTAGTTTAATTTCCTACTGCATTTTAGTGACCAATATAGAAGATATAAAAATGTCATTTATAGAGAAACTCCAACCTTTTGTTTTCCTCGTTATTCTAATAGATCAAATGGAACATATAATATGATTTTTTTTTAATTTTTCACCAAACACTGTAATCAGTCTTTCATGCTACAGATCTGTGTAGTTACTGCTTGTCACACACTCAAAATAGATGTGAATAGGACTTTAACGGGAAGGAAACTCTGCTCTTTTCCCTTCTGGTAACAAGGCAGGAAACTTTTACAAATTCCATCCTTAGGCATTTTCCCATTCCGTTTGATCAGGTTTAACTGAAAGTTACAATGTTTCCAATCTCAAGCACTGAGGTGGTATTGATGGAGACACATTGATGGGGACCTTGGGGTTTTAGGAGGTGAGGGGCAGTTTTTTAATCCATTAGTTTCTTCTGCCTCAGTTCACCACCCAGAACCAACCCCAAGCCTGCCAGGTGAGGTCGGGAGGCATGGGCTGGGTAAGGCAGGACAGCAACCTCCACCCTAGCTCAACTTATATGTCAGGGATGGAAGGAACTATGGGCCAGGGCTGCCTGCGGAAATGGCAGGCCCTTCTCCTGCAGGCTCCTCCAACTCATCTGAAGCATCCTCCTCCTCCTCTAAAATCAGCTGATGTGGCCCCATCAGGGACCTCTACAGTCGAACTTTGTTTTCTGCGGCTAGTAACATTGCAAATGCAGAATCTGGCTTCTCAGCAAGGACTTCAGGCTTGTCAAACTCGACCACCTGAAAGTCAGAGAAAAAGAGCTGAAATTGGCAGAAAAGATCCACTCACCTAGAGTCCAAACCACTGAAGCTTCTGGGGAGGTTACGCCAACAACTTCCTGTACCTTCCCATTTTCCATGACCAGAACGAGGTCGCAGTTTAGAACCGTGTTGAGGCGGTGGGCAATGGTCAATACCGTGCAGCCTTTGAAGGCATCTTTGACGGTGCTCTGAACAAGGGTGTCGGTCTTGGAGTCCATGGAGGCGGTGGCTTCATCAAGGAGAATGATCTGTTGAGGAAGGCACATTGTAAAAGTCACACTAAGCCAAAACTGCAGCTGAGGGAAACGCACGGTCTTAGCTCTACTTATTAAAAGAAGAAGAAGAAGAAGAAGAAGGGCTGAAAAGTCATGAGCTAAGTGTCCATCTCAAAAGGTTAGAAAAATAATAGCAAAGTAAAAGTCAGTTCACATCTCCTCCATCTCCTTCAGAGGGACTGACTGAAAGAGTAAGGTGATATATGATTTACGTCTCTTTTTAAGTTGTTTATTCTAATCTTACAACCTGGTAGGAGGGTTTATCTACCATGCTAACATGAATCAGCATGAGCTATAATAATGTATTTGTTTCTGATCGCAGCTATAACAAATTAGCACAAACTCAAGAGGCTTAAAAACAACACAAAGTTAGTGTCTTGCAGAGCTGGAAGTCACAAGTCCTAAAGTCAAGGTTTTGCCAGGGCTGCATTCCTTTTGCAGGCTCTAGGGAGAAACTGTTCCCTTGCCTGTACCAGCTGCTCCGGCCTGCCTGTGTTCCTTGGCTCGTGCTACCTTCCTGGCGCTGCTCTAATGGATACTTCCATTGGTCACATCTCCTCTTCTCTTTCTGACTCTCCTGCCTCCCTCTTAGACAGATCTGCATGACTATACTAGGCCCACCCAGGTAATCCAGGAAAATCTCCCACCTCAAAATCCTTGGCTTAATCACATCTGCAAGGCCCCTTTCTCTCAGGTAAGGTGGTGCATTCACAGGTTCTGGCTATCAGTACGTGGACATCCTTGGAGGGGGAGGGCACAGTTCTGCTGACCACAGTGCTGGTTTGCAAGTCAGAGGGCTTGAGCTCAGCTCTAGCTGGCTTGACCGTGGTTAAATTATTTAACTTCCCCAAGACTCCATGTCCTCATCTGTAAGAGGGTTATACCTTCTTTGGGGCATGAAACACAAAGACAACGCAGCACACAAACCACTTAGCAGCTTATAGTGCCTCAGTCAGGATGGAATGCATGCTGGGGCTGGCTCCCTCCCTGCCATTAGGACATCTACACAACATACACGATGGGTTACACTTTGATCAGGGTTCAGAGAATGGGATTTCTAAAGCAACTGCAACCCGTTCCTTGAAATCAGTAGCCAAGGATGACTAAGTCACTAAGAAAAATGAGTATAAATTTTACAATTCTCATTTCTTAGCATTCTGAAGGTGTTCTTTAACATCCTGGGTGTTGTTTATCAGGCCTCAGGATTGTTCAGGGACAAGGCAAAAAAAAAAGTCAAGAGGCAGATTTCTTATACTCAAACCACTTAGGAGGACAGAGAGAATACCTAAGCAAGTCTTCCCAGGGGGAGGCCCAGGGGAGGCAGGTGCTATTGCTGTAAATGGCTGTTATTTTTCAATTTTTACCCCTTACAACTTTGTCTTCAAAGAAAGTGATCGGTTTTTAAATGGCTTAATTGTTCTCTCTTTGCTGAAAGACAAACGCGTGGCTCTACCTCCTGGATTGAGTGGCGCTGCGGGAAATATCCAAAATTTGACCAATCCATTTTCCGTGCTGTTTCCTTACTTTTGAATTGCGGAGAAGTGCTCGGGCCATACAAAGCAGCTGACGTTCCCCTACTGAGAAGTTTTCTCCATTTTCTGTGACTTCTGCCTGTAATTTTTCCGGGAGTTTCATTATCTATAAAACACAGAAAATGTCACATTTATGCTGATGATCTATAAAATTGTCCTGCATCGTCTATATTGATTGTCCCCTTCTCATGCATTCATCAGCTGGCTTTATTTTACTGAGGAAAAGAAAATACAAAACAACAATCATTTCATCACAAACAGGCACCAGGGAAAGACCAGGGAGTAGGTGGACATTAATAATTTAAAATCACAGTATGATTCATAGAGCCCCGTAGACACCTTGCCAAAAGAGGACAAATGGTGCACATATGGCTCCAGAGAAACACAAACGAAGTGTAAATGGCTTCCAGGGTCCCTAGTTCCCTAGACAAAATAGACATGGGATGGGAGAGTTTTCTAGTCATCAAAGAAAGGTAAGGAAGTGTCTGATTTATACAGTCATAGTGGCATTGGGGCATGCTCACCTTGGTACCAAGTCTTGGTGGAAACAATCCCCTCTATGCTGCAGAGGTGGCCACGCTCACCTGCTGACCCCAGCTGCAGCTCTTATAGGACAGGACCCCATCTCACAGAAACTGGCCATATTTGCCATTCCTGGAGCATGCCATGCCCCCTCACCTTCCTGGGGCTTCTCTGTTCCCAGAAGCAAATAAGGCTATTGGCAGAGCAGAAGGATGCCCCATCTGCTCTAGAGTCAGATGCACTTGGGTTCAAGTCTCCATTCTGCCACTTACTAGCTTACACATATTTCTTCCCTGAGTCTTCATTTCTGTACCTCTAAAAATCAGGGTAGGAGTCCCAACCTCAGAGGGTTATAGTCAGGACAGGACCAAATGAGATAATGCATGCAGAGCTCTTGACTGGACCATTGCAGAGGCCTAATACATATTATCTAGTGTTGCTTTAAACAATAGAGAGTAAATAAGGATCACATTCTACTGACATATGTGATGCCAACAAATAAGCCTGGCCAAATGCTGGCCCAGTGCTTGTCCAATTCAAACCTGGGCCAGGTATCTGGGGCCCTGGTGCTGAGAAACAGGTTCATCCTGGACAGTCCCAGAGACCTACTGTGTCTCTCATGAATGTCCTCTCCAGAACCTGCCAGATCATCTCATCTGAGTGGTTCTCAAAGGGATCCAAGTTGTACCTGCAATAAAGGAAAGAGCAGGGAGCTGGATTTCTGAGGAAGACAGGATGGGGGGAGCATGTTTTCTGCAGCCTGTGGGAGAGAGTAAGAGGTGGTGTGTGATGACCCCTTTGCCTCCAAAAGTAGTGCTTAGCCCAGGACAATGGTCCATAAAATAATCAACCTCAGACCAAGAGAGCAAGAACCCACAGCTCTGTGATGGGGCAGAGACCACCAAGGCAGAAGAGATAACACTGAGCAAGGCACTCAGGAAGACACATTTGTCCTCACAATGGCCATTTATGGCAGAATGCATTTGGCCCTCTGCAAATTCTTGGTGGAGGTGAAGGGGTGGGATTCACTCTGCCATTGCATTCACTCCACCTTCAGAAGCAAGAGGTATAGCTGCAGCTCCCAGGCCCTTGCCCAGGGTGGGTATCCCACTTGCAGGGTGTGAGTCTAGTATACAGCCTACTACTTGATCTGGTGCTCAGTGGGAGAAATATTCCTCTCATCAGAGGGGCAGCCATTGTGCTGGACTAAATGAGAAACTGGCTTTCTCCTTGTCCCTTCACATCAGATCTTTGAGTCCTAAAAGTTGCAACCCTACCGTTCTTATACTTGAACAACTTCTGTTCACTCCTCAGTGGGAATAAATTGATGCACTTTCCTATGGATGGCTACATACATAGGGTAACCACTTATTTTATTTCGCAAAATGGGCTCTTCTGAGAGTGGCCATTGGTAAACATGATAGGATGCTGAGACACAGGCATAAACCTGGGCTCTCCAGGACCAACTGGGATATCTGCTTACCCTATGTGTAAGCATCTCGCTTATTGGTGATGTAGCTCATAAGATATAGGTAATGTTCAGGGCCCTAGTCCTTGGCTCCTCCCAAGGTTTCACTGAAGAGCAGGTACTTGCAGTGCTCGTGAGCACCTCAGGATGCTGCTTCTCTCATCCCCACTGTGGGCACTTCACAAAGCTCCTGGCTGGTCTGATTTTACCATCCAAAAAATAGATGCATGACGATCAAAAACAGCTACCTTACTGTACCTACAAACAGGACAGGATCCTGAGGGATCACAGTCAGCTTGGTTCTGAGGTCTTCCAAACCAATCGTGCAGATATCCACCTCATCAATGAAGATCGTACCACCGGCTGGCTCCACCATACGAAACAAGGCCATTCCCAATGATGACTTTCCTGGGAACAATAAAAGCAAGAACAGCAAATCAAACATCAGTTTGCACTTCCATCATATCCAAGTATCTCATCAAGGGAATTTCTAATGCAGTGAAATGTCTCCATGCAGATGACCATGCAGACAGAAAGGCCTCACTCTGTGCAGGCAATCCACTGCCCTAATGCGGCTAACCTGCCCATCCCTGCAGGGGCTGTTAACACAGGACTCATCCTCTGGGCCTCGTTTCACCAGAATGATTCTCATTTAATTAATTCAAAAACTGATGTGTGATTGTTTCCAACTCCGTACACCCATTCAACCTGAAATCCTAATTTACAGTAAAGAGATTTGAGGGGAAAAAACCCAGCCAATCCACCACACACACATACACACACACACACACACTCACACACACACACACACCACCCTCTGGTGTGGCTTAACCAGCACACCCAGTGGAAATGCAAAGAAAACAACCTGAAAAAAGCATAGTCAGAGCTCACCAGAACCTGTTCTTCCAACGATCCCAACTGTCTGCCCACTTTGAATGACCAAGTTCAGCCCGTCAAGAACAAGGGGAGTGTTGTCTCTGTATCTCATCTGATAGTCTCTGAATGTTATCTCCCCATGGCTGGGCCAGTCATGCGGACAGGTTTCCACTTTGAGGGGGTGAGTGCACTCAGGAACACAGGTCTGAAAAGCAGAATGACCAATGACAGGTTAATAACCATTCGCTTTTCCATCCATTTAATTCATTCATTCATTCCCACAATTCTAGGTCCTCGTGTTCTTGGTGGTGAGCTAGACCAATAAATTCAGTCAAGAACTTACATTCCAGTGGGGAACTCAGATGATAAACAAGAAGTGAAATCAGAAGTGAAGACAATAAAATAGAGTATTGTAACAGAATACAGAGTGTGTGTGGTGGAAATGGGAGGCGGAATAAAAGTAACTTAAGGGTTGAAGAAGGCATCTATGAGGATGTGGCATACAAGCTGAGACCTGGAATGCTGCAAAAATGCCTGCTATAAGAAGATTTGAGTCCAGAGCCTTTTAGGCAGAGTGGACAGCTAGTGCAAAGGCCCCAAGCCCAGGGCAAGCTTTGAGGAATAGAAAGAAAAATCGTGTGGCTGGAGCTTAGTGAATAGAGAGATGGATAACTATAAGGGACAGCTCCTACTGGGCCTTGTGGGCCTGGGCAAGTGTCAGCCGTGTGACCTTGAAGCTATATGACAAATCCAGACCAAATCTTGAGACTTGCAGAATTCAATCAGATATAATTTCAATATCTGCCAGAGTCATCATGCTGTTAGAAGTAAGAAGACGACAAGAAGGCAGAATGTCAGGTTCAGAGGTCTTTAAAGTGACATGGAAAAGACATTTTAGTTTCCAAAAAATCCAAGAAGTGCAAAGTCTAAGTAAGGAGCAGAGCAACTTGGCTATGTTATAAGACCAACCCCTCCTCTGTAATGATGAGTCTTTGTTAGCGATAAGAAGACCCTCATGTGCCCTTGTAGGGTGGTTGACCAGCCCAAATCTGTGATAAGCAACCACAATTAGCTGAGAAAATAACTGTATTCTTAGTGAATATTTTTAACCCCCAGTTGACCTAGAATTCATAACAAAAATATTTAAGAGAAGTTTGAGGCACCTGGGTGGCTCAGGCTGTTAAGTGTCTGACTCTTGATTTCAGCTCAGGGTCATGAGTTCAAGCCTCACATTGAGCTCCATGCCCAATAAAATATATATATTTAAATTTATATATTTATAAATATATATATTTAAGAGAAGCAAAATTGTAACAGTAATATTATCAGTTTAAGGATTCTGCATATTTGGTGTTTTAAGTATAATAATATTAGTAACATAAGGGCCTGTGATTCTAATTTAAAATGTATAATTGAATAATTTATTTAAACATGATTTTAAGTTAAAAGCTTACTGTTCATCTACAGCATTGGGATGGTTATGCAAATTTAAAGCTTACTGTATTTATAAGTGTAATTTATTAGATTTATATAACCTCTGGAAGGTTTGCTTGTTAAATCAGATAATCAAGATACTTATGAAGGGAATAAAATGTGCTAAATTTTAAAATACAGTTTAAAATGTTTTAAAGAGATTAATTAAGTTTGTAAATGGGGCCAAATGCTATTCAGAGTCCCTTAAAAGTGATTGCTTAACTTGTCTAGGCTTCTTTTCAAAGAATTGCAGGATTTGTAAGTTGAACATAAAAGCATTTAGAGAAGGGGCACCTGGGTGGTAGAGTCAGTTGAGCGTCCAACTCTTGGTTTCGGCTAAGGTTGTGATCTCAGGGTCATGGTCTCAAGGTCATGAGATCAAGCCCCGCATAGGGCTCCTTGCTCAGTGGGGAGTCTGCTTGAGATTCTCTCTCTCCTTCCCTTCTTCCTCTCCTGCCCTACCTCCGTGCTCTCTCTCTCTTTCTCTTTCTAAAATAAATAAATCTTAAAAAAAAACTTTTAGAGGGGCGCCTGGGTGGCTCAGTCGTTAAGCGTCTGCCTTCGGCTCAGGTCATGATCCCAGAGTCCTGGGATCAAGCCCCACATCAGGCTCCCTGATCGGCGGGAGGCCTGCTTCTCCCTCTCCCACTCCCCCTGCTTGTGTTCCCTCTCTCGCTGTGTCTCTCTCTGCCAAATAAATAAATAAA